GTCCATGGGGTTGGCTCTGTGGGCTGTGCCCAGCAAGAGCAGCAATGGTGTGGGTACTGACGGTGCCTTAGAGTGAGTTTAGGCATCAACACGTGGCTCTGAGCTCTGAAGCTTTTCAATTACCTGGTCTCCGGTTCTGCTTAAATCAACACAATCAATTCCTGCTGCAAGTAGCTAATAACCCTAACACTGGGGGGACGCCTGTTCATGGTCACCCACCTGAAAAGTGGCTGGTCTCCAATCTCTTGCTCTTTCCATACAGATGTTCCTAAACCAGGTCAAGTCATCAAAAGAGTCCACAAAAGCCAGGCCTGGAGGAGCTGGTGTATAACCCCAGGAACTCAGGAAACTGAGGCAGGGGGATCAAAGTTCAAGGACAGCCTCAGTATCTGAGCAAGACCCTGTCTCAAAATTTAAAAAATAGAAGGGGCTGGGGATGCAGCTCAGGGGTTGTTATGGTTTGGATGAGGGGTGTTCCCCAAAAGCTCATGTATGAGACAGTGCAAGAGGGTTTCTATAGAGGAGAAATGATTGGGTTATGAGAGCCTTAATACAATCAGTGAATTAATCCCTGGGAGTTAACTGAGTGGTAACTGAAGGTGGGTGGGGCATGGCTGGAGGAGGTGGGCGTTGGGGTATATATTTTGTTTCTGATAAGTGGTGTCTCTCTCGCTGCATCCTGGTCATCCCGTGGGCCACCTCCCTCAGCCACACTCCCCACCATGATGTTCTGCCTCACCTCGGGCCCCATGGAATGGAGCCAGCCGAATATGAACTGAGACCTCTGAAACGGTGAGCCGCTAAATACACTTTACTCCTCCACAGTTGTGCAGGTCAGGTCTTTTAGTCATAGCAGTGAAAAAGCTGACACAGAGTAGAGCACCCCTAGGTTCAACCCCCAGTACAAAAAGAGAGAGAGAGAGAGAGAGAGAGAGAGAGAGAGAGATTCCAAAGAGGGCTGTGAAATCAGAGAAAATAGAGTTGCCTTCGATTACGGGTATCCCAGAGACCTTGTGACTTTGTGAATGTTAACAAAAGGGCATTTTAAAAGAAGCTGAATAAAGGAAACAATCAATAACATGAAGAGAGAGCCTACAGGGTGGGAGAAAATCTTCACCACACTCACATCTGATAGAGCACTGATCTCCAGGATCTACAAAGAACTCAAAAAACACACACACACACATCCACATATACACAAAACCCCCCACAAATAACCCAACCAATGAATGGGCTAATGAACTGAACAGACACTTCACAGAAGAAGAAATACAGCCAATCTACAAACATATGGAAAAGGGTTCACCATCTCTAGCAAATTAGAGAAATGCAAATCAAAACAGATACTCTAAGATTTCATCTCACTCCAGTCAGAATGGCAGCTATTATGAATACAAACAACAATAAGTGTTGGCGAGGATGTGGGGGAAAAGG